TTCAACTTGCCAAAGATTAAAACTAGACCCGTATCTATCACTATGCACTAAACTAAAATCAAAATGGATTAAAGATCTAAATATTAAAACAGGGCTGGGGATTTAGCTCAGTGGTTCCGACACCTGTCTCACAAGTACGAGGTCCTGAGTTCGATCCCTGGTACCAAAAAAAATTTTGTTAAGAAAGTAGACTTCATGTTATATGTTTTGCCATAGTTAAAAGAACAAAAAAAGAAATCCCAATCACTTAACCAAATCTAGTGATGTTCTCATTAGTTGTACAGCAATTACATTAACAATTGCTTAGGCATTAGACCAACTGGGTCAGCCTGGTTAGGGAAATTTTAAGCTGCTAGTATAATACTGTAAACCAATAAGAAAGTAAAGTTTTAAGTGTAGAATGAAGTTCTTGCTCCCAACATCAGCCAAACTTCTTTTCAAATAGTAATAATGATTTAAAAGCCACATTACACTGCATATATAAAGCTTTTTTAAAAAAATACCTTCAACTATCAATCTGTCAGTAAGCAAGTATGCACAAATATACGTAGCACAATCTAGCTGAAAGCATAACGTTAGCCTTATAAAGCATTACCAAGAATAAAAGAAGAAATAATCTTAAATTTCCTGCCATAATAGACTATTATTATTAATACACAGGCAAAATTCTTATAAAGGACTTGAGAGGACCAGACAACCCTCTGGCGTTCAATCCACACTATTAGCATCCAATCCAATAAATGTTATCTCAGGATGGTGAAGCAGCTGTTCCAAGTAGAGCATTCAAAATGCTTTCATAATCACAATCCACAATGAGAATTTATTTCATTTATTATTCTTGTCTATATACATAACTACATAAATCTTAAAATTTTCATCAAATTTAATGTAGCTTTAACTTAGTTTAAATGGGCAGTAATTATGCACCTTAATATTTTCATTCTATTTTGCTGTTCAATTTTGAACTCTCTGGCTTTTTTGCTTTGCAGTACTGGGGACTGTACCCAGGGGGTGCTCAGCTACATACTATTTTGAGACAAGGTCTCACTATGTCACCTGGGCTGGCCTTGAACTTGAGATCCTTCTGCCTCAGCCTTCCAAGTAGCTGGGATTACAGGTGTACACCATCACACCTGGCTGTTTTTACTGTTTTCCAGTCATGCAGATTGAACCCAAGGCCTAGCACATGCTAAGCAAGTGTACCAATGAGCTACACCCTCAGCCCATGTTCAATTTTTTTAATGAATTATAATACTGCAACCCACCAGGGACACAACACCCAATCTGAGAAATACTATACTAGTACCGCAACATGAATACATGCTAGTCAATGTACGGGTTCCAAAGCAGACAGCAAAATGTCTCTAACAATAACTATCTGGTGCAGTTCACAAATATTTCTACTTTTTTTTTTTTTTTTTTTTGGTACTGGGTATCAAACTCAGGACCTTGCGCTTGCAAGAACCACTGAACTAAATCACTGGCCCTATTTCTACTTTTGGCTAATTAAAGTTGCCTGATTAAAATTTGCTGTTTCCTCTGAGAAGTGAAAGGAAATATTAAAATCTACTTTCTGCTCTTAGAATTCTACTGACCCCCAAGGTATGCTCGGGAGATAGTTTCTAGAGAAACAGTTCCAGTATACAATTAGAATTTCACTGATAATATTACAATTAAAGCATAGTCATATTAGAAAGATTGTATAGTTAACTACAGAAACAAATTTTTTCTCTATAAAACAAGATAAATCAGATTAAGTATGATTTTAAGTGTCAGTGGAAGGGGTTAACCATAAAATCAATAGCACCTAACCTAATGAGAGACTTAGTTGTTCTGAATTTTTTTTAAAAATTGACACCTCATCCTCCATCCTCTACAACAATAGCGACAAACACACACATACATACACTTCTTAGTATCCTCCTCCTGCCACATCTTAAATAATTTTTGCTTTGTTCACCATCCGACTCCAACTTTACCTACTTTTTTATGATGGGAAGAACAAACAGTTGCTTCTAAAATGGGTTCCAAATCTCCTTGGTGGTTGTCATTATCACCTCCTCTTGTACCATCAAGTGGGTGCCCTTTTCTGAGCCTTATATCTGGCTCTGGAGTCCTGCTGCACCCCAATCGGTTTTCTGCTAGCTCGTTCATGGGATTCCCAAGCCTTTCGTACAAAGCGGTCTTTCTTTCTGTCTCTTCTTCTTGGGGGAATGGATTTTCAGGATAGTAAGTTGATCCTAAAGAGAGAAAAAAGTTTTGAAAAAATATTTTTAAAATGAAGACATATAGGCCAGGGATTTAGCTCAGTGGTTCCGCCGCCTGCCTCGCAAGAGCAAGGTCCCAAGTTTGATCTCCAGTACCAAAAAATAAAAAAATAAAGACGTATGAGTGCTGGAGGAAAAACATCAGTTACATCATGATACATACAAACAACAGAAAACTCAATAACCATTAAAATTATAAGAGAATAATATATTTTAAAATTTTCTTGATAGGAAAGATTGTCAAAATCTATTTTTAAATGACAAACTCAAGATACAAGGCAACATGTTTATGCTCCCACTTACGTTAATTATAAAATATACAACTATATATAAGTATACATGTACCTAAATAACTACTAGAAATTATTCAAAACTATGCTCTTGGCATAGAAGTGCATAAAGAAGAACCTTGGGTCTAGAGTGAGAAGACTTACTCATTTCCATGTTCTGATTGCATTTTCTTTAACCAAAAACAATTATTTTTTCAATTAAAAACTTACCTAACTGTAGAAAAAATATATGTAAGCTCATGCTGGGTTTTATATATCCAATCTCATTCAAACATCCATAGGATATTTTTATTTCTATTTCACAGGTAAGAAAATCAAAACTCACCACACTTTCTATAAAGTAATTAGGACAAACTTAAAGAGATTTTGAATTTATACAGCACATTTTATAGGTAATGTTGTGCATTAAAAATGCTTCATGTTTTGCATTTCAACATTTTTTGGTTGTTTTGAACTCAAACTACCTTGGAATGTAAGAAACTCAGGACCAGAGACTACTCCTTAAACATCTGTCTGAGTTCCCAGAAATACTATGCATATAAATGTTTAACAAAGATTAGATAGATTATATTTAATGTTTCTGAGTGACAAACACTTTTGAAAATCATCAAACCTCTTTAAACTGGACTGCAGTAATATAGTCCATGGCATTCTACTTTTTTTTGGTACTGGGGATTGAACTCAGGACCTTGCACTTGCAAGGCAAAACATTCTACTTCTTAACTCATAGTATACAAGTTTATTCTAGACAATTAGTCCAATACCCTAATAAGGAGATTATCATAGCCAATCCAACTAGAAATATCAAATCATTAAGAGAAAGAGGGGCCTCATTTGCTTCAAATCACCATCCCACTGTGTACAAGTGTGAAAAGGTCTTTTATAGCAAGGAACAGAGGCAATACAAGGAGACAACAGACTTCAGGCTTGCTTTATGCCTCTTGGTCATCTTTTGCTCTCCTTTTCCTTTGGAAACTGGGCTCTGAACTCCTGAGACCACCATCTGTGTATTCTGTGCCTTCATCTGAAATGTGAAAAGGAAGAGATGGTGGTTATGGAGCCCTGAGGAAATGCAGTGAAGCCAAATCTCAAAAGGACCAGATCTCCTGGGAGCCAGCAGCTGCATATCCTGATCATTCATCTGAGCTATGAGGAGGAGGTGGCCCATTATGCCCCAAGCCTGAGCAAGTGTGGTGAAGCTGCTTGTCTTTAAAGAAAAAAAAAAATCTAACTTCAAAAATTCCATTTTGCCATGATGGTTAAAACGAGGCTAGGAATGTAGCTTAGTATGAAGGATCTAGGTTCAATACACCGTACCATAAAAATAAAAGAATACTGACATCAAAAGCATTATCCATACCAGAAAAAAACTGATCAATGAACTTCATCAACATTAACTTTTATGGGCCAGGAATTTAGCTCAGTGGTTTCACCTGCTGCGCAAGTGCAAGGACCCGAGTTTGATCCCTGGTACCAAAAAAAGAAGGTACATCAACATTAACTTTTATAAAAGATCCTGTAAATTAACTAAAAAGCCAAGTTCCAGACTGAAAGACTTATTTGCCCATCACATATCTAACACAGGACTAATATCTAACTACATAAAATTTCTTAGCCAGGCGAGGTGGCGCACACTTGTAATCCCAGCTCTCAAGAGGAAGGATCACCATGAGTTTGAGACCAACTTGGGCTCAGAGTGAGTTCAAGGCCAATCCAAATTACACAGAGAAACCTTGGCTCAAACAAACAAACAATAATAAAAAAAAAAACCAAATAAAGTCTTATATAAGCAAATTATAATATGGTTCCCCCAAAAAAGGAATATTCTGCAAATTAGTCTCCTTTAATTAAAAAAAGTCACATAATTAAGCTCAGTGATCTCCAATTCTTCACAAAGGAAACAAAATATATACTAAAAAATATTTTGACAATCCTGAAACAAAGGTTACTATCATACTTACCTTACATCTGTATAGGCCACTCTGAACCTGGAGTGACTATGCGTCTCTGAATGCTTACTTCCTTCTACAATTTCCCACCTACCAAGTGCCTATCTTTGTGATGGGGAGCCATGACGCTCAGAAGCTGAGCACACTATCTATATAAAAGATGGCAAAAACCAAACCCAGACCTCGTAATTCTGACTCCTCATTGAGAATTCACCACCATAACAGACAAAGTTCAATTGACAAAGAAACTGACAGAGAAAGTTCAATTTTAAAGACAGCCTTGACCGGTTCCATTCATCACCACCTCTCATTCTTATGTATTGTATCCACTTTCACCAAAAAAACGGTTTTCTTTAAAAACATTTACCTTCGAATAAAAAAACTCTAAAGAAAGGCCGGGGATTTAGCTCAGTGGTTTCGCCACCTGCTGCGCAAGCACAAGGACCCAAGTTCGATCCCCGGTACCAAAAAAAAAAAAAACACTCTAAAGAAAATCACTTAATGGCATGCTTATTCATTCTACCAAACCTGACATTTATTACAGTACTTTCTGGGCTTTTTAGTCCCAAAGTTGTTATTTGTCCCAAAGGCATACTTCCTGGCAAGTTATGAATTCCCTAAAGGTTTTCTAGTCAGTTGGACACCAAATTAAACCACAGCCTATTTACTGTTTACTTGCCTTAGGCGTTTTATTTCATGATTGAAAGATTTACCTTTCCAATTTTATTCTGTAACTTGATGCTAAAATCACCTAATCTGCTAACACTGTATAGGTTTACTTGCTAGAATGACTAAGCTTGTCAACTTGACTGGCTAGTTTTGCTCCACCAGGCCCTTACAGGTAGCACAACTGGGGCTAGGAGACCACTTCCCCTTCACCCACCTGAATTTGAGCAATAGCCCAGGGCCAATCCTCCTTTCCTTTGTCCTAAGAGAAGCAGAAACAAAAATAACAAAGACCCAGGAAACCTCTAAAGCTCCAGGCCAAAGCACAAAGGTGTTAGATTCCGTGCCCTGACCTTTAGTAACCTTTTCCCCACTGGAACTTTGCTAAAGGCTGATACATAGGAACTGCATGTCACGTATGTGATTAAAATAGAGTAAATTCTGGGAGAGTCGTGCATACTAAGGTGACCCTGAGATGACACAGCACCCTGTCAATCATTTCTGTCAATCATATTCGGGCAAATCCAATGAGAGGCACCTGGGTCCAGGGTCATCTTTTAAAATCTGAAAAGGCCTAATTTACCTTAGGTCTCCCTATTCCCCTGCCATCCTGGCACTTTTCCCATTCATGCCACCCTTTTGCGAGTACAAACTCAAGCACACCTTATGGTTATCTCCAATAAATGCAGCTGCTTTTTCTTTTACCTTTGGATATACACTTGTAATTCTTTGCCTCCCATACACAAGGATCTGGAATCTTATCTCTTGGATACATCACATGAGGTAACACTTCCATCATGCTGTCTCCGCCTTGGAGCCTGTAAAGCATGGACTTAATACTCTGAAACCATGAGCCAAATAAATCTCTCCTCCTTTAAAATGCAAGTGTCAAGTATTTTGTTCAGCTATAGAAAAATTGCCTCATACAGAAAAACGGTACCAGAGAAATGGTACTGCAACTACACCTCATCATGTGATTCAGAAGCGTTTTGAACTTGTTTATGGGAAAAGTTTGAAAAGGTTTAGAGATACAAAGTAGAGAAGCCCTACAATGTTATGAGCAGAATCTGATAGGTGATCCTGGTCAGAGCTCAGAAGACCAGAATGCTGATAAGAACATGGATAACAGGGCCGGGGATTTAGCTCAGTGGTTCTGCCACCTGTCCTGAAAGCGCAAGGACCTGAGTTCAATCCCCAATACCAAACAAAAAAAAGAACATGGATAGTAAAGGTAAAGCTGTTGAGGTTTTATTTGAGAACAAGGACTGTATTGGAAAATAAGATTAGAGGACGCATATTTCACTCTGGCAAAAAAAAAAAAGTCTGCATTTTGTTTATGTCCTAAGAATTTATGTGAGGCTGAATTTAAAGGTGACATATAAAATGAACTGGGGGAGGAAATTTCAAAGCAGCCATTCAGGCTGTGGCATGAATACTACTGGTTGCTTTCAGCAAGATTTATAGTGAGAATTGAGAGCAAAAAGCAGAGCAGAAATATAAAATCAATTTTTGCCTAAAAGGAACTACATATTAAGTTGAGGCCAAAGGAGGTGTGGTTTGCTGAAGAGATCAGCACCTTCTTTTAACTGAGACAAGAGAAATGCTTTGAGGGCATCTCAGGAACCAGCAAGACTCAGCCCACTGCTGTCTTAAGGATCCAAAAGGATAAACCTTTCATTTAAGAAGAAAGTCCCTGGCCCTGAGAGGGGTTGCCTAAGGAATTGGTTCCCCAGGATTCATTCACATGATCATTTAGGCACTGAGAATGCAAGAGTTGTGGGGTCATGGAGACTTCTACCCGGAATTCAAAGGATGGCCTAGGAGGGCAGTCAATGTGCCTTTAAGAGGCAGGTGCATTAATGAAGTTGAAGGTGGAAACCCTAGTAAGTCTGAGATGCCAGGAACATCTGACAAGAAAAGCTCTAAGAGCCAACCCAAGAGAGAGGCAGTGCAGACCACAACTAACAAGGTGATATGAATGGAGCTGTGCAAGCCCTTCGGAACTCACATCTCACCACCATGTGCCCCAGATGATGGACATGCAGCTACAGGACTTGCTATCTGTTCT